TCTCTATCTCTCCACCTCCACGCGATGCAGATGGCTGCATTACACGGCGCATTCATTGCGCCTTCGATTATGATTTTGCTATAGGAAATGCTTAAATAATCGCAGTCGCAAATATTCCCACGAGTTTTTTTTTTCTTTTTTTTTTTTGTCTCTTTTTTATTTTGGGTAGTAGCGATATCTACTTCCAGCCATCAGCAGCGTCTGATTGTCTGCTACATGAACAAATCCGCATTGGATTCTATTAAAAGCGTCTCTAATCGTCAGAAGCGACGCTGGTAATCACCTCAAAGTCACAAAACGAAAGACTGCAGCAACGAACTTGCTGTGCATGCTTAGCTTAACGTGATTTTAATAGCGGGTCGGTTCTGCATTTCATATTGGGGTTGCCTGCTCATTCAAGTATAAACAGAAAGATATTTGTATTTATTTAGCCACTGGCTACACGACAAATGACATTGACCATTTTAAATACCCTGTAGCAATAAAAGCGTGGACAAAGCGGAATAAAGCAAATCTGGCTGCAGAATTATTAAGTGGTGCTAACCTTAGAAAAGTCAGTTGCGTGGCATGTCAGTGGGCCTCATTAAATTCTTCCTTGATTGCTCATTCAATTCTTGGCATTTAATTATGTGCAGACCTCAAGACAGGGTATCCCTTGGTAGTGCTTCTGTCAACTTAATAGCTTAATAGAAATGTTAGGTCATTATAATTAATTGCTACATCGATGGGGCTTTAGACAGCCGTATTTTATTGACTATTCCAATTAAAATTATATTTAAGGGCAGGCTGAGCCGAGAGAATGTGGCTCTAAAATAGAATTGGAGTGCCTGGTGAGTTATCAATGGAGATTTGCTGTGTCACGCACATTCTAAGTATTTAACTCGCCTAGACCAATTTCCTTAATACTTGAGTGTCGCTGCTTTGAAGCCACTCTTAACATTGAAGACTGCAGCTTAACTAGATAATAGGAAAATTATTTGGCAATTTGCTGGCAGAAACTCATTGCCACAACTAATTCGCTTTACAACTGAGCGCATTGCAGCTGCATATGTTCAGAGGCGAGCCAGATAGTTGGATGCTCGGGCACATTGAGCAACAACCTTAAAGGTCGTTTTGCCATTTTGCGGCAAAGTGTCAAATCATCGCCAGAGCAGCCAAGAAGCCATAAGCTAACCTATATTTAACCCCAAACTATCCATCAAAGTACATGAAATGAGGGCTTCTGTATTTCATTTTCATTTTTTTCTTCGTGCTGCAATCCAATGCAATACGGTGAAGAAGCCTTTTGTAAAATTGAAAAACCATTTAAGTCCCGTTAATTTTAACACCCATTTTCTATGCCAGCCACAGATTGCCAAACAGAGTCTCGAAAGAAAAAAAAGAAAAATAAGGCGCAACGCTGGCATCGTAAACAAAAGCGAGAAGCAGCCGAAATACGTAATTCAAGCGATAATTATTACCTACGGGCCACAAAGACCCTACAAACCTACACAGATATAAAGAGAGATAGAGTGAGGCAGAGAGAGAGTAAGAGAGATCCCCCGAAAGCAAAAAATAATAAGAACTTTACCCTCGCATGAAACAGACTGCTTAATACTCGCCTAAGTTCAAGTTTATTAGACATTTAAGTTCCCATTTTGAAAGGGGTTTCAATACCCGTATTGGCCTCTACCACGGTAGAGTCCTTATTAAATGAAGGAGCTTAGTGATAAAGAAGCTCATCAATAGCGACAGCTATCAACTGCTGTTTTAGTGAAAACTGTAAACATAGACGAGGATATTCACAAATCTAATTCCAAGCTGATAAGCTAGACAGCATGAATATACTCGTTTTATGGCCTGAACGGGTATAGGAAATAATAGAAGCGAGCAGTCGCTGCCGTGTAGATGATTGAAAAGCAACAAAGATTTGCATAGAAACGTGCGATTTTCGTTGTGCTGGCCTCCATCTGGCGAATACCCTTTGTAAGTGCCACAGGCATGTTGCACCCACAGCGCAGTAGCAACAGTAGCAGCAGCAGCAGCAACAGAAACGGAGGCAGCAGCAGCAGTCGGATTCGTTTGTCGCGCCTGCTGTCAACATGTTCAGAGCTCGAGTCACAGCATGAGAACAATAAAACGAATTTGTATTCACTGTACCGTTTGGTGGCTTCTGCTGCTGTTGCTGCTGTTGGTGCTGCTGCCAATTGCTCATCCATTCATGGCGTCATTTCCACAGCAGCAGCCAGAGGCCACAGCTGGGACTTCCCGCTCCCAGTGGCAATTTGTTGTTGGCTTCTTTAGCTAATTTCAAATAGCTGCAATTAATCTAATTAATTTTTGGGTACCAGAAAGGTCTGCGGATTGGTTCATCTATTGTTGTCTGTCCTGTACCTCATTTATAATGTGTGTGTGGGCACATTTGTAATATACAACAAAAAAAAAAAAATTTTATTTTTTTTTTTGAGATTGCAAATGAGTGCGCTTTTTGGGTAGACCCAAAAATGTCGCAGCTTAGGCTTTGTTCTGGCCGAAAAAAATGTCAAGATCAAAGTTTGGAGATATGAAGCAACGCTTTGATTAATGAAGGCACTGGGACAGTAAACGAGGCACATTTTTGTGTTTTAAATTCAAATAAATAAGAATTACACATTAAATAGATGCAAAAGATAAATGAGAAAACATTTGCGTACTCTAACGCAACATTCCATCATTAATAAAACTAACTGCCGAATAAATTATATAACGCACGATCCATTGAAAATCTTAGTAATTAACCGAAATGAAGGCATATTTTATAGAAGCAATTGAGTTTCACTTATTGAAACTTGAATGTCATTCACGACATAGCGCTAAGATCTTATCGGCAAAGAGCGAAACAAAGTAAATATAGCACCAGCTTAGTGTGCACCGCATCATAAATTTCCAATGCAGACTAAAACTGGAAATCGAACTGCTCATCCAATGGGAATGTCAATGAGCATATAATATTCTAGAAAATAAATTTCAGCGACCGCCAAACAAATGATCTCAAAATAAGGCGAAGCAGCTCTCAATTGAAAGTGACAAGCGCGCAACAATCGCATGCTAATGGATGATAAATATATACATAAGAGTTGACTTCACTGCACATGGAAATGCACAGAGAGAGAGAAAGAGAGAGAGAGAGAGAGAGACCTATCGACATACAGTAATATGCCTGCTCAATTCCAGACTCGCAGTAACTACAAAAATGTTTCTTTTATTGGGCATTTGGCAAAGCTGCACATCAAACCGCAGGGCCCGAACTCTGACCTCAAACTCAAACTCGAACTCGAACCACGAATCACGAAGCAATCGCAAGATAAGGAGGAAAAAATACAGCAGATTTATGCAAGTCTGGTGCAGAGTTGCCAACAAGCTGGTAGCATCCATCATTATCGAGCGACATAGGTTTCCTTGGTTCGGCAGGCAGGAACCGCGGATAATCACTTGATCGCAGGCAAATCATTTATTGTGACACGATGCTCGATCGCAAATTGTGTTTATCAATGCAGCAGAAATCTCTAATTTGCCAACTTGTTGAGCCAATTGGCCAGCTCTCTCTCCCTCCCTCTCTCTCTCTCTCTCTCTGTCTGTCTGTTACCATGTCGTCTGTTTGTATGTTGCTTATACGAGCTGAAATCATCTCTTTTTAATGCTTAATGAGTTTTATATTATCATAATTTATAATTCTCCTGGGAACAGGTAATAATTTCAGACTTTTATTTCTATATGCTCGCGACTGCGATAACTTTTTGCACAGCTCGGCATGCCTGTTATGAGCATCTGATATATCTCTATTTCTTATCTCAATTCTAAGTTTCGTATACACAAAATCTCTAACTTGTTATATTCTGTTATATCTCTATTTCTTATCACTGTGAAGATTAAATATAATATTAATATCTCTGCCAATTCTTACAGTTCTTATTTTTGCTTTGCATACTTACTCGTGCATCCCAACCCACACATTTTATAATGGCACTCAACTAAATACTAATGAGAGTGCTAGATAATTTATGAAATTATGTTGAAATGCAAAACGAAGACTTATCTTGTAATGATTAAATAATGACGCAAAATCTTGCGCCTAATTTGTATAGAAAAACTGTCAGTCATTGGAGAACTAATATGGAATAGGCACTTTAAGCTCATTCACAATGTAAACAAAAATATTTACAAGCAAGTCTAGTGAACATTTAAATTATATCAGTGATAAACCAACATGTTCATGTAAGAATATTGCAATCGAGCATTACCGACTGCACAATACTCACTCACGGGCCACAAAGAATAAGACCTGTATGATAAATGAGTCAGAAGGACTCACAGTACTTTAACCGTTCTACTCGAGAGCTATGCCAATCATGATTTTGTGGCTTACACTTGATTACACTGGGTATTTCCAAAATGCAAAGTCGTCAAAATATTATACTACAAAAATAATATCGAAATATCAATATATCGATAAATTCTTCAATCGATATTTTTAAAGTTTCATATCAAATATCATACTGATATTTTCTCACAACTTCAAATATCATCGATACAATATTCTAAAAATATGCGACAACTAGATAAGCTAAAGTTAATATGCCCGTTCTCGTTGTGAACGAGTATAAAAAGCAAAGTTCACTTACATTAACAATGCCGATGCTTAAGCAAATATCTATATGAAAATGAGAAATTATTATTGCATTATACATATATAATACAAAATAAACTAAAACACCTTTATTAAGTTCCCTGCTCCCAGGGAAATTCTCTTGACTCTTCGCTTAAATCAATTCCCCTGTTGCCACCCAACTGACTGCCTTTCAGTAAGCCCCATTCGAGCTAGGCATATCTGTCGGTAGTCGAAAGAGTCAACAGATGCGCCTCAAATTTACATACTTCCGCACATATCTAATCTTTAGTTTTATTGAGGCGCCGTGACTGAGATAATCACTATAAAAGCAAATGAGAAGCGAATTCAGAACGTTTAGTAAACTAGGGTTCGCAGCGCCCTCCACATCAATCAGTGCAGGAAAAGGGCCAAAATGGTTTACAGTGTTGCTGCACAGAAGCCGAGCGTGTTTAGTGCGCGCTATCGCTGGCAGGTGATAGCCACCATGACAGGTGAGATCCATATGAGGCCGCTGTGTAATCAAAGCATAATCCTATTTGTATATCCACACGTGAAGTGCACATCCTGACCTTTCAGCACGGCATCGGTGTGGGTTGGTTGGCGCCATCGCTGCCTTTTCTGGGCTCAGACCAGACGCCGCTGAGCACGCCCATCACTGTCACCGAGACCTCCTGGGTGGGCTCACTGATCGGCCTGGGCGCCCTGACGGGCAACATTATCTTTGGACTGTTGCTGGATCGCCTGGGCCGCAAAGTGTGCATGAACTTGCTAGCCTTACCGAATATGGTAACTATATGAAGCATTGCTCAATTCAACAATTAAGCTAACGTATTTCTGATAGATCTATTGGATTCTCATCTATGTGGCCAAGGATGTGACGTATCTGTACGCAGGTCGCTTTCTGGCGGGCATCACGGGCGGCGGCGTGTACGTGGTATTGCCCATATTTGTAGCTGAAATTTCCGACAGCAAGTAAGTTGGCCTAGATAAGCTCTCAAAATGAATATAGATTCAGCTTAATTTAGACAACAAACAAGCTGCTCTATGATGGGCGTGTGTGATATTGTAAAACAGTTTGTTTGCTCTCGCAGTTTACAGTTTGTAATCTGAGCACCCTATAAACTTGATCTTAGACTTATGTAACTGCTTTCTTTTTGCGCCAACTCCCCCAGCATACGTGGCGCGCTATCTTCCATGGCCATGATGTATGTCAGCATCGGGCTTATGATCGGCTATTTGCTCAGCTCCTATCTGGACTACTATCTGGTGCCGTGCATAACTATAGCAGTGCCCGTGGTTTATCTTGTGGCCATCTTTGGCTTATCTGAGACACCGCAGTACTTGCTGCGCAGGGGCCGGGATGAGCAGGCGAAGAAATCGTATTGTTTCTACAAGAATCTGACAATAGCCAAGCCAGATGGTGAGTCAGCGCACGATGATTCGACGGAAAGAGAGTTTGCGACTTTCAAGCAACAAGTGCTCAGCAGCGGAGTGCGCCAAGATATCGCCTGGAAAGATTTCTGTAAGCTTCATACTGATAAGACGCTGGGGCTTTTACAGCTTTGCATTATTTGTTTGCGTTATGTTTACAGTTAATCTGCCTACCGTAAAGATCTTTGGGCTGAACTTCTTGTTGATCTTCTGCAACCAGCTGTCGGGCAGCTTCGCATTCTTCAACTACACCTCGAACATCTTCAACGAGCTGCACTCCCAGATAGATGCGAACACTTGCACCATTATCGTGGGCGCTGCCCAGGTGGTGGGCTTGCTCTGCGCCGTCGGCTTGGTGGATCGTGTGGGGCGACGCTGGCTGCTGCTCACCTCCATGGCCGGCATGGGCCTGGGTGAGCTGTCCATTGGGCTGCTCAAGGATCTCGCCTCCGCTGAGTTTCTGGCCGCCAACAACTGGCTCTCCCTGCTGCTCATGTGCTCCGTAGCCTACATAGCCGCCTTGGGCATTATACCGCTGATATTTGTCGTTGTTGTTGAGCTGCTGCCAGCCAAGGTAAGCTGAGATTAGCCACTGATCCACATAATCAAAATGATCTCATGATCTATCGAACAGATTCGCTCCCTGGGCACCTCCATTTGCATGGCCACGCTGAGCGTCTTCATGTTTGTCTCGCTCAAGATCTACCCGCTGCTGATCTTTGGCCCCGGCCTGCCAGTCACCATGTACATGTCGGCCAGCGTCTGTTGCATTGGGTTCGTCATACTGGGCCTCTGTCTGCCAGAGACCAAAGGCAAACAGCTGACGCACTAATTGAGGGCGCGTGTAGCCTCTACGTGTGGCTCTCGATGATGAGTTCGCCGAGCGGCATCAATCCCAGCGACCACGCCAAATTGTCGCTTTTGTATGGGCGAAACGTTGCATAAGCCGGGATTACCATTATGAGTGCCAGTGAGTGAGTGAGTGAGTGTTACGAGTATTCGCTTGTCAAGACAGCGCCGTCAAAGCAAACCAGACAAACGCCAGCCACAAATGGGGCATGGGGAGCATGTAGCTCATCCTGAACTCTTGAACTTAATTCAATTTCGGTCTCTTGCCATTGCTGTTATTGTTGCTTAGCTCACATTTCGTGTGTATTGTGTGCATGTGTGTGTGTGTGTGTGTGTGTAGTCTTTAAATATTATTTAATTTGACTTGGAGAAAGTCTGAGCTCTGTGCTACGAGTTCAAATTGAGCATGGGCCAATCAGTTAGCTATAGTTATGCAAATAATGAAATTAAAAAGACTTGAACCTAGCTAATATAGTAACTAATATAGTAGTTACTATCCTAAAAAATAAAAAAATTAATAAATATG